TCTGTCTCCCCATTTCTCTTTGTGGATTTCATTTTATCTTTGTCTATCCCTCTTTGTTTTTCTGTCTCTGCCTCCCTCGTTCTCCTTCTTTCTCACTCTCTCACACACACACACACACACACACAACATGCATGGAATGACCGACTCCTTCACATACACACTTTCCCCTTCCACAGTCATTTCCTCTGTGAAAAAGAAAGCCACTGAAAATTCAGGAAACCTACCAGACTAGCAAATGCTGCTGCACCCATCCCTAACCTCCCAGGGTAAATTAAAGGTAACAGGAGATGACAAATGAGCAGCCATTTATTATCACACCCATACATATATGCAGGGACACAGAACCCCAAGTGGATGTGCCAGCCACAGAGAGGAGGTCCAATTAGGTGTTCAACCCAATCCATCATTCAATCTGCTTACTCTCATTCAGTTCAAACAATGACCCTGTGTTGTGCATATAGGAGAGTGAAGCAACTGTCTGAGATCACATAACTGATAAGTGGTAAAGCTGGGATTTGAACGCAGGTTCATCTGACTGCAAAGCTGGTGTTTTATCTCTACATGAAGAAGTCTTTATCCAAGGTAGCCAGAGAAAGTGCACCTTGATACAGAGAGCCTTAATCATAATATAAATGTAATATATAATATACATAATATATAATGTTTCAAAGTTACACCTAGGAAGAGAGTGTGAATATCAAGTCAAGAAGTGGAGCCCCAAATGGGAGAAAGACTCAAAACACAGGCTTACCAAGAGCACAGCAGTGTGTAGTGTAAGGATATAACTGGGTCAAGAGAGTCAAAATTTCACACAGTGCTTGGGGCGTGGCCTTGGGGCCAAGGTGATGGGTTAAAGGATAGGCTGAACCGTTTCCATGCTAACCAGGCCTGGGATTTGGAGGTCCAGGATGACTTCTGCTACTCAAGTTGCCTCCTAAGTCCCAGCTCTTCTGCCAGGCTTCATCTAATTGCCCTGCCCCGTGCTCCAGGGCCCTTCAGACTTGTGTAAAGACCAGAATCCCCCCCTGTGGTAGAAAGCTCTGTCTCCCTGCCTGGATCTTTCCAGTGCTTCTTAGCATGTCCAGTGCCCCTCTGGAATCAGTGTCTGACTCTGGGTCTGTTATTCTAAGTTTTATTTTGCCCTATTGCAGGGAAGAAAATGCATGGGCTATGGCCCACCACTCCTCTCTGCATCCAGGGTAGGCATTGCTAGTTGATCACAGCTCTCTTTTCCAGACATCCCAATGACTTGTTGGAATTCTCCATATTGTGCTCTAGACAGCCACTCCCAATTGATGAGGATGACACCGAATTGAAAGCTATGGGCAGTTGAATGATAGCAAAAGGGTTCACTACCATGTGCCAACTCCCTCCCCTTTCCCAGCAGTTAACCAGTGGATTAAAAGGAAAAAAAAAAAAAAAAAAAAAGGCTGACAAAAATGAAGAATGTGCGCCAGCTAAGACAGGCTAGAAATGAACAAGTTGGGGGCAGAATCTGTGTCTTATTCACTGCTGTATTCCAACACCTGGCACAGGGGCTGGCCAAGAGGAACCACTCAGGAAATGTTCAGTTCACCAAAGAATTAATGAATGATAAATGTGGCTTTCCCCTGCATGAGGCACACTTGGAAGCACTCAGGGAATGAGAGTAAAATAAACCTCCTCTGGGAGATGTTTCAGTCAGACACGTTTACTCCACCTCCCTTGGCTTTCTAGCAATTTCCAGAGGCTGCCCCAGATTGTGACAGCAGCCAGGCTCTTGGTGTTAGTAAACTTGGAAAGGGTGGGACATTTGGTTCTAATGTCTGGGGACTTTGGATCCTGGGTGAAGGAAGCACTGGGGCTCAGGTAGGGATTCAAACACGGTCTCCTTCAATAAAATAAACTCTGTGACCTAATAAGCCCCTTTCCTGGTCTGGGCCACAGTTCTCCTTCTGTAAATGAGAAGTGAGAAGCCTTGCCTTCTTTGATGGGAGGATCGAAGGAAGGCCATTTATGAGCTGTGAAGGGCTGCCCAAAGGCCATGTTTGCCATGCATACCTTAGTTGATCTCTTCTCCCTGGCCACCTCTTCCAGCCTTGGTCCTTCCAAACCAGAAGAAACTTGTCCACTGACTGTGGCTAAATGAAGATTTCAAAGAATGCTGGAGTTCTCACCCTCTCCAGCTTGAAAAGACATTCACAGGAATTGTCCTGTTCTTGTGACATATGTGGTTCATAGAGAGGTCCCATGTCAAGAAGGGTCGGAACCAGAGCTAGAATCTTCAGCTGATGCCCACAATTTTGGTTGTATTTTAAGCTACTGTTTGCAATTGACTGTTAACCAGAAGGTTGGCAGTTCAAACCCACCAGCCACTCCTTGGAAGGAAGGTTGGGCAATCTACATCCATAGTGATACTGCCTCAGAAACCCAAGGAGGGGCTGCTATGAGTCGGAGATGACTCGACGGCACATAACAACAACAACAACAACAAAACATGCTCTGCATTTTAATTGCATTATCTCCATTCATCCTTCCAAAAGTCACGCAAGAGAACTATGGTCCCTCATTTCACACAGGACATTGAGGTTCAGAAGTTACTTTGCCCATGACTATGTGGCTGACTGTTAAGAAGAGGTGTCAGGGCTTGAAATCCTGTCTGTCAGATTCCAGTGCTCGGCTCTCTCTCCTCTTCCCCCAAGCTCTGCCCCCAGAGTTATCAGCCTCCAAACCCAGATTCAGTCTGACCTAGTTCTTCATGGGCCCTTCTGGACCAGATGTCAATGGCACACCACTCATGCCTGGAGAGAGAAGGGATGGCAACTACCTCTGAGTCCAAAGAGTTCATTCCATTCTGTAGGAGCAAATTCCCAGCTTCTCCCTAGCATCACTCCCAAGTTAAATAAATCAATCAAACCAGAGTGTGCAATAATAGACTCTGGGTGTCACAGCAGGTAGACACAGGGCAGAAGAAACAAACAGGGAATGTTTAAATTGACCGCAATCTGTCCTGAAGGTCACTACCTTATGCTTTTCTTGGGAGTGAACATGGATAGGGGAAGGGATTTAAAAAAAAAAAAAAAAAAAAGGTCTTTTATACTATAAGCCCAGAGAGGAAAATTTACCATTCCCTATTTACCTTGCAAGTTTGTGGCCAAGCAGACCTTGAACAGAGAGGTCCCAGATACTTTCCAGCATTCTTTCCACACCCCCTTCCCCATATTACTTGTAACAGATTCTGTGAATCGACTTTATAAGGAACGAGATGTTTCTGGAGTGAAAGAGTCAAAGGCCTGGAGGCAGGTGGGTTTGAACTGCAAGCCTTCTGGTTAGCAGTCAAATGCCTTAGGCACTAGGCCACCAGAGCTCCTAAGAAGGGAGATGGGGGTGACATTTGTCACCAGAGTGGTGTCCCAGGCTCCAAATGTGGGATGAGGCAAATTAGTTCAACGGCCCCAGCCAGCGATCGCAGGGTTCTTATAAACATAACCTAATTGCATTACTTCAAAGTCCTGAAGCTTACTGCCCTGTTTAATGATGTGTCACATTATTTATATGGTAGCACAATGGGACTTCTATTGATTTAATGCACTTCCTTAAAGACCGTCATTGTCATAGCCATAAAACGGAGCTATTTCCAGACAACTCAATTATGTCTCCTGTGCTTATAAACCACCCTGTGCCCCATGCAGTTGCACACAAGAGGCAGGAAGGTACAAAACCATGACTTGGGGTCCATGGCCCTGAGGGGCACGAGGCAGGGCTCTGGAGAGGCAGAGGTAGGTGGGCTGGGTGCTTGATGTAGTCAGAATGTGTGACTGCATGGAGAGCCCTTGCTGGAGTGTGGGGAGTATCTCGATGCTGTCTTGGCCCTTGGACTTGGAGCAAGTCTCCTTCTCTCCTTGGGGTTTTAGTTTTTCCTACAGTGAAATGGAACCCTGAGTTTAATGAGAGCCCTAAGGCCACTTCTGGCACCCATGTTCTGTGGTTTTATGATTAAAGTTGGTTTAGTCCCTGAGGATAGATAAACCTGGGGAGGAACTGAGTTACATAGAGCTCAGCCGTATGAATAAGAGGAAACAAGTTTTTAACATCTCTCCTCACCCTTTCCCTCAACCAAGGGTCTTTCTTTTTAAGTAAATTGGTGATAACAGTAATAACAATAATAGGAAATAATCCAGTCTATTTGAAAGAGGGAAGAACCTGAGCATTTGCATCCGGCCAGTCTTCAGTCCTGCCCTGGCCTTGCTAGTTAGCATCTGTGTGCCTGGGGGTACCTGACTTGGCACATAGGAGACTCACTTTCTCATATGTGAAATGGGGGCATGAATACATGGATCTATTAAGAATGCATGTATACACATGTACAATATTCCTAACTTTCTCAAAATGCTGTCACAGAAACCATGTGTCTTTCATGTGGGAGGTAGACAAGAAGAGCTACTGAAATGCCCATGCCACAGGAAGGGAAAACTGTGGTAGGAAGGGTATGACTTGCCTAAGACTGGTGTCCTGCACCAGGTCTGGAGACTGCAATTCTGATAACAGCTGAGAATCAGAGGGAAATAAGATCTGGTGACCCTCCCTGAGCATAAAAGCCTTTCCATGGGACAGCCTAGAAACAGCCCCCGCCAGACATGTGGATACCCTTCCAGAAGAACCCAGGGTCCTTCTTGGGTTCTCCCAAGAAGCCTGGAGAGAAAAAAGTGTCAAAGAGACACCACCACCACCACTGCTCCCACTCCCCCTCCAGGATGAAAAATAAAGAGGCTGCTGTGACAGGGCAGAATTCTGGAGTCCAGAGCACCAACTCTGAAAATGCCTGAACTGAACGGTTCCTGAAAATCAGTGTGTATGACCACTTCATCTTCCCCATGGTGAGACTGAAGCCCAGAGAGGGGACACACAGCTTGGACATGGCAGAGCCAGGATTTAGATCCAAGGGAGGTCAGTTATCTCACCAGCATCCTTACCTCTACATCACACCTGGCCACCACCTCCAGCAAGCTCTCCAGGCTTACCTTTCTGATACTGGAGCCACAGCTGTTGCTGGACCTTCTTGCTGGGGAAATGGATGATGCAGGTGAGCTCTGAGCCATAAAGTGCCTCTGCGATGTAGTGGGAGCCATAGTGCTGGATGAAGGACAACAGCTCGTCCCGACTGCTCTCCTTGGTCAGGATCTTGAGGACATTGGTGAACTCTGGCAGGGAAGAGCACGAGGAGGTATCAGAATTGGGATGGTGGTGGCCACAAAGTTAAAGGGCAGCAGGCCCTTTTGAGCTTGTCCCCTGTGGCTACACTAGTCCAAATGTGTGTGTACATCATTCCCCTCCTTACATATTAAAAACGTCCTCTCTCTGGTGGATACATAAGACTTTACCCAAGAGAGAACTGGTGAGTGGAAGGCCTAAAACTTGGTGACCTAGACCATTAGGGTCTTGAAAGTCACAACTGGGAAGCCAAAGCTAGTATCTGCTGAGGAACTAATGTGTACCAGGCATTCTGCTAGAAGCTTCACCCACATCGTCTAATTTAAGCTTATCCACAACAAACCCCATTATGCAGATAGGCAAGTCAGATCTCAGAGAGAGTTAACGACTTGCCTAGGTCCTCCAGCCAAAGGAGCTGGGATTCAAACCCAATCCTGTCTTCCTTCCCATGCTCTTTCCACTGTACCAACAAAACAAACCAAATCAGGGCTTGGGTTGTTCCTTTTTATTGTGGAGTCCTGGTGCCATCATTCGCCTAGTCCACAGATCTGATCCCTGGCTTCACTTCCTGTAAGATCTCTTCCCTTTCTGTCTCTGCTGTTGCCTTCCTAAAGCAGGTATGTTCTCTCCCTAGATCGCCAAGAGCCTCTTTGCTGCTGCTGCTGCTGTTGTTATGTGCCATCGAGTTGGACCCAACTCATAGCGACCCCTCCTTGGGTTTGCAAGGAGGTATCACTATGGAAGTTGATTGTGGAAGCAGATTGGCCAATCTTCCTTCCAAGGAGTGGCTCGTGAGTTTGAACCACCAGCCTTCTGGTTAGCCTTAGGTACTATGCTACCAGAGCTCCCCTTTGCTGCTGTATTTCCTTCTAATCCTACACTAAGGAGGCCTGTAAGGCTTCAGCACCAGCATGGGGCCAGCACACCATCACTCAGTCATGGCTGTGCCCCTTCCCTCTCCTTCCTCAAACCAGCTCATGACAAAGCTATTCTTCCGCAAGCATGAAAGGTTCCTGGGCTCCCCCTGGGCCCAAGGTCCTTAACTGGGCGTTCAAGGCCTCAAAGTCATCTCCCACAAGCCATCCACACCATTCTTCAGCTCTAATCAAATCAGTTTCCTTACTTCTCTTGAGTGGGACCTGTGATCTCCATCACCCATTCCTCACTCACACCCTCCACACCGTCAACACACACACACACACACGCACACGCACACGCACACACCACCCTCTGCCTGAACTGCGTCCCTGAGTTACACCTATAGTTCATGGACCTGGGAATTATCCCTTCCCTAGGCAGCCTTTCACACCCTCCTGCCCCTACAACATGCACCCCCTTGATGGCAGAAGCTCTGTCTCATTTGTTTATTAATCTGTACCTGTCCTCCCTGAGCCCCCGCAGCCCCAGCCCAGCACAGTTCTTGGGACATGGCAGGCACATAGACAGTGATGATTACAAGAACCGAATTTGTGCCGTGTCAAAGTAAAATGTAAATGATCAAGCTCCTCTCCAACATTAAAAATGAGCTCCAATTTGCCAGCATTTGATTTACAAGCAGGTTTTCAGGAGCACAATTATTGATTAATTAAAGCAGATACACCTTTGTAGTCCTAATAGGAACATCACAGTCTCACTCACAAGTGCAGTGTGAGGGGTGGTAGGCTAAACAGAAACAGGACTCAAAGAATGAGAGCTTGATTAGAACAAGCCCTCTCCATCAACCTGTTAACTCCTGCAACTGGGTAATTAGTACAGCAGTGTCAATAATGAAGAAGTTTCTGTTAAGTAATACATAACAAGAGCGTGGAGACGCCCTCTGGCTATTTATCCAGGCAGACAAAACTTAAATAACCAAATCGCTACTCTGTTCCTTGTTCTGACACTTATGAGCTGTATGACCTGGGACAAGTCACTTAACCTCTCCCCTCCATGACCTGGGACAAGTCACTTAACCTCTCCCCTGGTCTCCTTATCTGAAGAAAAATGAGGACAAATAATGCCTTCCTCATCAAACCTATTTACTGCTGTTGAGTGAGTTCCACCTCATACTGACCCTGCAGGATGGTGTAGACCTGACCCATACGGTTTCCAAGGCTGTAATCTTTACAGAAGCAAACTGCCTCATCTTTCTCCTGCAGCCCTCCTCATGGGGTATTGTAAATCCTACATATAAAACTTTATAAAGTGCTTGGCAGATGTCAGCAAGAATTATTATTTGTACTTCCCAGAAGGTGAAATCTTCCAATTCACAGGCTAAAAGAGCTCCATTTTGCTGAATGCACAAAGTGAGATTGAAAAAGAAAATAAAAGAATTTGTGGAGAATTAGGGGATACGCAGACAGAAAGCCAGGGTGAGGGTTGTGAGTGAGAGCCAGGGTAGAAACCAGGCCTCATCTCCCCAGTCATTCATTCCTTCTTTCTTTATTTCTCAGGTTTCACTTCAATTTTCAGTCCTTCCTCAAACATGAGCACAGATGATACACTGATCCTCTGTTCATTTCCGGGGACATGGGTCACAGAAATAAATAAGACCCAAGCCCTAATCACAATTCTCAAGTCAGTAGGGAACACGGGCAAGACTCAGATACAAAACCAGCGCTGGCCAGTGCTTTAACAGCGGTAATTGGAGCAGCGGAAATGCCTTGAGCCGTTCTCCTGCGGGGGATGGGGAACTGGGCTGGTGTCACAGGGTGCTGCAGAGTATACTGCTGTGCAAAGAGATCCAGACAGAGGGAACAGCATGTGCAAAGTCACAGAGGAACAAAAGGCCAGGCCCCGTTTCAGGAGGCATGAGTTGCTCCCTTCAGCTGGAGCTTAGGATCCGCGTGGTTCAAGTGTAGGCTATGAGTGTGGGCGTGGCATTTGTGATTGTCGTGTGGGAGATGCACAGGAAAGAAATCTGCCAGGAGAGAACAGAAGAGTTGGCTGCTGAGAGGAACTTGAAATTCATAAACCGGAAATACGTGGAAAGTGGACTTAGTCATTCCCCCCTTCACCTTGCTTAGATAGCACTTTTTCCAGAAAGCCTCTTTGTCTCCCCTGGAACCATTGTCCCATTATTGTGCTGATCCTAACTCTGTTTGCTTTTTGGCTTGCCCTCCCTGTGAGCTGGTTGAGGGCAAGGGGCACTCTGCCTCATTCCCTCAGCATCCCCTGTGCCAGCACAGGGCCTGGCATACACGTCGAGGTCCTTGGGCACATGTGTGCCTAGCACCACGTGGCCCGGCTGCCTGTGCACTGGTCCTCACCTGCCGAGAGGGTGATGGTGCTGAGCTTCACGCGGTAGAGGTTGCTCCGGACCCGCCACTGCTGCACCATGGGGTAACCCATGGCCTCGTCGTACCTGATGTCTCCTGGGGGAGGAAATAAGGTGGTCACATGACCCAGCATTGAGAGGCCTCTCACTACAACCCCCACCCCACAGCTCTGGGCTCGGAGTAATGGCCACCTCGCATAGGCCAGTAGAGGCTCAGACTTAGGGTGACAGCTCTCACTGAGGCCAACAATTTTAAGTAGAGCCTTGATTTCAGCCTCAACCTTGCTTTTTCTCTGTGCTCAGTAGCTTGCAAGGGCCTCTCACCCTGCAAACAAGAGTAACCCTGGGTCAGATTTACGCCCCACCTACACCTGAACAAGCTACAAGTTGGTAACTTGCTACGAGGCACTGATCATCTACGAGCCTTCATTTCACCATCTGATACTGCAGCCCTCATTTCATGGGCATACTGTAAGAGTCAGATAAAATAATAGAAGTGGAAGCACTTTGGTCATTTACAAAAGCTGTATGCTACAACGGGTCAGCCAACGACAGCCATTCACACCTATTGCTTATGACTGCATTTACACTACAATGGCACAGCTGAGTACTGGTGACAGAGACTGTACTGTCTGCAAAGCCTATCACATTTCCTATCTAGTCCTTCACGGAGTTTGCTGACCTTTGGTGTTGATCATTGTTTCCCCATATGCAAAACACACACATACACACATTCCAAGTAAGATTGAAAAACAGTGGTAAGATGAAGCTAAACTTCTCCCCCAGCCTCTAAATGATCATTTCTCAGTGCCCTGAATGGGCTAATAAGCATTTTAAAGCTCCACAAAGAGGCAGCTTCCTTGATGCTTCCTTGACCAAGTTGTTGGTAGCACTAGGTGCTGCCCAGCCAATTCTGACTCCGTGACCCTGTCTGACACAGTAGCGCTGCCCGTAGGGTTTTCTTGCTGTAATCTTTACAAAAGCAGATTGCCAGATCTTTCTCCCTCAGAACCACTGAGTAGGTTTGAACTACCAACCTTTGGATTGGCAGCCAAATCCTTAACCTTCTTTGACTCTGGAACCCCCTTTTGCATACAATCCACTTAAACTCATGTTCCGTAGAATACAGTGGTTAGAAATGAAAAATAAACAGATGCAAAGCAAAAGAAAATGCTACCAAATGGTTAATTTTGGGTGGTGGGTGTATGGATGATTCTAATTTTCTGATTAATATTCATCTCCATTTTCTAATTTCCCTACCCTAAGCACTTAAAACTCTCTTTTATAATCAGAAAAAAAAATCCATAAAAAGGAAATGCGAGTCCCATCCGCAGTTATTATTACTGTTGTTCTGTATCTGCCTTCTAGAGCCTCTGCAGAGGCAGGCACATTTTCTAGCTGTTGTCTTGTCCCCTGGTGAGGAGGCACTTACTGAGATATTTGATACCAAGATTAAAATGAGAATCTCATTGGAACAAATGATTTCTTCCTGGACATTACTGCTGTATTAAAGTTGTCCATTACTGTCAACTCTTTTTTTTTTTTTTTTAACTCTCTCTCTCTCTCTTTAGCCTTTTCAGGAATGATATAATTTTTTTTTAGAGGCTTTCATTTTGAAGTAAAATATTCATGATCCCCAAAGATACGTCCACTGCAATGAAGGCATTTTGTTACAAATATGTCCTCTCTGTTTATCCATTCTGCCTCTTTTGTCCTTCCTTTGCAAAGTCTAGGGAGGGGAGAGAGGGTGGCCAGAAGAAGGAGAGGGCTAGGTTTCTGACTAAAGGCAGAGCAAACAGGCTGCACAGGGAGACTCAGACACCAATGCCCACCTACTACTGCTGCCCAGACGCAGAGCAGGCTGGGAGAGGTGCAGCAGCTGAGGGTCATCCCTGGCTGAGGCGGGCAGGACGTCCCGAGGCAGCCTGTCGATGCAGCTCTTTTCTCTTGGAGCATCACGCGCCAAAGTTAAAGCACTGCTTCCGATCATCAGTCATTTATAAAACCATCATCCCTGTCCTTTATCCCATCCTTGGGCCTCCCCATAAGTGAGCATCACTCCATCCCTTGCTTTCCCCACCCCTGGTCCTTCCTGGTTTCTGGCCTGAATATAAGCTCCCCCAGTGCAATGTCAGCTCTGTTTAAGCCTGGCACGCAGTAGGCATGCAATAAATAGCTATCACTTGACTCCCTCACTCTCATCCTGATTCTGATCATAAACCGATTTCTGACCCTCATCTTATGCAAGTCCATCCCAGATCCCCACCTGGGAATAGGATTGGGAGGAAGCTCTAGCATGGAGGGAGTGTTTTCCTGATAAGTTTTTTTAAAAAATTACTCACTATGGGAATGGAACAGTTTTCTACTTAGGACACATACAAAGATCCCCAAGTCCAAACAAATAACGAATGATTCCTACCACAAACGGAGAACCACAACGTGCCGAGCAAGTTACATATCTAATCTCCGTTTCTCTCACAGTCACCCTGAAAACTGAAGGTTATGCCACCATTTTTTCAGAGGGGAAAACAGGCTTACAAAGGGAGACTGCCCAAGGACACGCAAGGGTCGGTGACAGATTCGGAGTCCTTTCCATTCCAGCAGAGCACCTCCCCATGGACCATGGAGACGTCTGCCTTCGGAGGGACTGCACTCCGTGTCACTGGGAGGGTCCACAGAGGGATCATTCAGCAGGGACCCTGCAGCCTCAGTGTCTCATCAGTAAGGAGGCTGGCACTACAGGCCATCTCAGCTCTGAAATTCTATGATGCTATGTAAAATGAACATTAGGAGGGCACAACACACTTTTTAAGTCTATGATTTCATGTGGTCTACATCTAGGGCCCTCTCTGGAGCAAGATGGGGCAGGAAGGTGACAGTGGATGAGCTACTGCTTTCGGAGTGAAGACCAGCTGGGTGTAAGTAAGGTGGAAGGAGCTGTGGTGACGCATGCCGAAGGCGTTCACTGCTAACCACAAGGGTGGCGCTTCAAACCCACCTGCCACTCTGTGGAAGGAAGACTGGCAATCGACTTCTGTAAAGATTTAACACTTTAGAAACCCAATGGGGGTCACTATGAGTTGGAACCGACTCAATGGCAGTGGTTTTTTTCTTTTTTTCTTTCTGGTTTGGGTTTAAGTCCTGACTCAACTATAAATGAGCCATGTGACCTTAGATAAGTTATATGACCTCTTTACCAGTTTAAAGGGGACAATAAAGCCCTTGCAGGGTTACATGGATTAATAACACACGCAAAGTGCCTGGTACACAGGAGGCCCTCAGCCTACGTGGCTGTCCTCCTTCACATCATTGCACAGGAAAGGCCCATGGAGCTGCACAAGGGCAAGGTCCCCCAGAGCTTGAGAGTGTCAGCAGGATTTAAACCTCGGTGTGGCACACTGCAGGGGTCTTGCCTGGGGGAGGACTTCCCTGCCGGGGAGGCAGCTCCACCATCCCTCAGGGTGGTCATTCTCCCTGGGCAGTGAGCGAGGCCCCAGCCTCTGAACCACAAAGGCAGGTGCAGGGCTCTTATATGTTAGGAAAGTCCCTGCGAAAAAGGGTAGCAGAAGAGCTACTAGAAGACAAGGTGGAGCAGAAGGTATTCGGGGAGGGGACAAAAGAATCGGGCATCAGAAAAACTGCCAAGTCGAGCTTCACAGTGAGGGATGTAGGACTGGTGGGACCCTGCAGAGTGGAGTGTAAAGGACAAAATGCACGGAGTCTTGGCACCTGGGTTCTGCTCCTGGCAGACATGCTCTTTGACCTTGGGCTGGTCCCTTCACCTCTTTAAGTCTAGATTCCTCATCGACCTAATGGTAATAAAAATATCCATCCTACAGCATGGTCAAGACCAAAAAGAAGCCGTGTAACTAAAGTTCTGCTTAAGGGGGAGAGCTCTGGTTTGAGGAATCCACTGCTTTACTTTAGAACCATTGAAAAATGAACCAACAAAACAAAATAGTGAAATGAAAAATAAATTAAAAAAACCCACAACTCAATAAAAAGTCAGAAAATTGTCTATGAGAGTGACACTTCCTGTTGAGACTCAGACATCGAAGCCGAGACTTCTCACAAGAGGGTTTTCCTAGTGTCAGAGACTCCTTCCCAGATGGTGCCTGCCCATAGGACAGAGTCTCAGGGAGGCCCCTCGTTCAGCACAGGCTGTAGCAGACGCCCGAGAAATGGCAGGTTCCTTTCCCATCCTCCCCTTCACAGAGGGGGAGTCCTGGCCGGCCCATCTGGAATCTGCTGAGGATGGGCTACTGCACCTGGACACCAGTCTGGCTGTGGAGACTGGGGCTGGCCCCACCTGTCTGTCTTACCGGTGAGCAGCTGGAGGTCGGGGAGGGGCTCGGAGAGGACCCCGCGGCACTGCTCCTCCACCGGCAGCGGGATCACCAACAGCCCGTCGGCCAGCTGGGGGAAGTCCTTGATGAAGTTGTTCTCCCTGTGGAGAGGAGCAGAGAGACACTGCCGAAACAAGGAGGTAGGGGGCTGCAAGGCAGAGAGGCGGGGAGCTGGTGTCAGAGAACCAGCAGAGAGACCGGCCCCCGCTGACGAACTGCCTTCCGTAACGCCTCGGCTCCCGGAAAACCCGCTCTGATAACATGGTGGTTACAACAGGCTCTGAAATCAGACAAGCTGGGGTGCAAACCTGCCCTCACCACTTAGAGCTGCATGATCTCGAGCAAACCACGGTACCTCTTGGAACCTCAGTCTCTTTCTCTACAGGATGAGACTTAGATCTCAGAGCTGTTGTAATGAGGTGAAGCTGCCAATTGCTTAAGACACTGTCTGACACTCTGAACTGTTATGTGGCTGCTGGGTGTCCCCCTGAATAAGCAATGACAGTGGTGAACCAGGATGTGAGGGAATTGGAAACAGTGTGGAGTGCTTGAAGAACAGGGGTAAGTTAAGCTCTAGAGAAGGCCAGAAAGGGCCCTAAGGGATCTTTCACATAAAACATCTTTCTTTTACAAATGGGGAAACTGAGGCTGTAGCAGGGAAGCGATTTGCTCAAGGAAAACTGATGGGTTAGACTCAGACCCAGGTCTCTCTACTAGGCTGGTGCTCTTCTCCTTGCCCTGACTTCTTCAGGGACCTCTATCCCTACCCTGTAGGGCTGTCCCTGGGAACAGCAGACACACACTTTCTGCGTGATTTCAGGGGACAGAATCCTGAACAGAGGTAGCTTTTAGGGAGTAGTGGTGGACAGTGCATCTGAAAATGGGAACAGCTTGTCAAGAGAGGTGGCAAACTAACTTCCTGTTAGTAATGACGTACAAGCTGGAAACTCGATAGCCACCTGGCATTCAGGGTGTCGAGGGCATTTCTCTATTAAATCTGACTTGAGAGCTCTTCATACTCAGAGATTCTCAGAGTTAATGACGCAGACCTAATAGGTGGTAGAGTTGGGATTTGAACCGAGGTCTGTTAGATTTCATACCTGGTGCCTTTGATCAGAAAGGTGAAGGACTGGTAAGGTAAGGGGCTGGTCCTGGAACCATCTCCCAGTTTTGTCTGCACGTGTATATTTCAGCCTGCTATTCAGTGCCTGTGTGTGTGACCAGGTCTGTCTACGTATGTGATTATGGGCTCTCCCTAGGTATTATGGTTGACCTTTGGTTTGTCTGCAAACCTGGGAGTGTGGAACAGCCATGTGAATACAAAAAGGCAGCCTGGTTGGTCGTGGCTGATGGAAGTGCCACCAAGTAGGATTAACACTAGCCAGGATCTAAGGGACTAAGTCCCCCTTGTGAGGTGGAGTCCGAGGCTGCAGCTCTTCCTTCAAAGATAGATGAGGGTGGAGGGGTGCTCCCATGTCCTAGTCACTCAGCTAACATGCACTGAGCACACACCATGGCTTGAGCCCTGTGCTGAAGGCTGTGACCCACATTTAGCTGGTGCTAATTCATTCTTGTCCTCAAGTTCCCCTAGTGTAGTGGGGGAGACAACACAGTGGCCATGCATAACAATCAGTGTAGCAAGCTGTCTGCAATCTAGGGGATTAGGAGGGGGCTAGATGCTTCTGGGCAAGAGTTCCTTCCCTATAAGACCCTAAGCACTTTTTCTGTGTGGTGGGAGAGGCTAGGGGAGGGTGAAGGGGTAGCAATTGGTCTGAAGCCTGCTAACACCACATCCTAGCTGAGTAAGTAACCTGAAGCAAACCACTCAGGCCTCAGTTTTCTCATCTGTAAAATGGGGATCACTGTAACTACTCAGCCTCCTTAGGGAAACAATCATGATAATAGCCTTTCATTGAACACCTACTGTGCACCAGGTACCGACTCCCCAGCACAACCCTACGGAGCAGGTGCTGCTCGGATCCGCAGTTTCCAGATGGAGAAGGTGAAGCACAAATTCATTAGGTAACTACTCAAGGCCATATAGCAGGGACGTGGTCCATCCCTGGCAGTCTGCCTCCCGACCCCACACTCTAGACAACTCCTCGGGTGCAGGTTGCTAAAGGCCCTGCCTATGAGACCCGTGGGCTGTCAAAGATGGAAGAGCCTTCATGGCCATGGGCATACTGAGCCCAGCGAGGCTGTGGTTCATTACAACTGACCACCCACCTGTGTGACCTCACTGGCTCCTCCCACCAACACCATGAGATGGGCATGATTATATGCCCCGTTTAACCAGTGGGGAAATGGAGGCACCAGGAAGGACTGATTTTCTTGGACTTAGTGAATTTGGGGAGAGATCAAGGCTATCATTTTGTACTTTACTAGTAGCAGGTCTCCATTTCAAATCATATCTTAAAATAGTTTTTAAATTGTAGAGGCGGAAGGCTGTGCCACCTTCTCTGCCCCCACGTCCTTCTCATCCTAACCCTCTGCCTCTGGGAAGGCCAGGCATGGCTCTGTGGCAACTCTGGTCCCAAAGGGACAACGGGAAACAACATAGTGGGCACCTCAGGGCAGAGGGGCATAAGGCCCCTTCTGCTTGGAGGGAGGTGCTCCCTCTGAGCTTCTGGGGAGTAGAGAGGGTCCTGAGAAAGCGCAGAAAAGGAGGAGAAGACAGAAGGGTGGGCAACAGCAGGGCGGTGTGGGAGGCTAGGAGGGTGGCAGGTGAGGCAGAAGCCCTGAATGGCAAGACAACAACAGTAAAGACCAAGGACCATCTCTGGGCAATCGGCCCCTATGCCAGCAGTTTGGGCCATGGCCCCAAGTCATGTGTCACCTCTGCCAGCAGAGGGCGCCCAGGGCCTTCACATCAATCAGCTATTCTGGGAGGCAAAACACAGATGGGGAAGGAAAGCAGGGAAAGTTTCACTGTGCTGAGCACCTCAGACAGAACCAACCCACCTGGGAAAGATGACCAGGGAGGTTGGTAGGACACTGCTGGCTAAAACTCAGTTGGTCTGAGACTGGCTGCAGATGTTCAGAGCTCAGGGATGTGTGTGTGTGTGTGTGTGTGTGTGTGTAGTAATAGTTTTGGGTAACTAATCCTAATAATAGGAAGAAGAATGACTATACTTATTATTTATTGGTCATTAGCTATGTTCTAGGTAGTGTGTCAAGATATACATTTTAACTTCATAAGAACTCTGTAAGATTAACTAGTGCTATTATTGCATTTAGATGAAGAAATGGAGGTTCTGGGAAGGTTAATAACTTGTCCAACCAAAGTCCATAGTTAGGAAACAGACGGTGGCCATGTCCACATTCTAACCAATCTAGCTTAACTTGGAGCCTGGCACTTGGCAAATACATTCTCAGTCAATCAGTCCAGTGCCTGTGCCCTTGATCGCTGGGACAGCCATATTCATTTCGAGAAGAGACCAGGCAGTTCTTAGTTGTTTGTCTCCAGGATGGAGAGAGCGTCTGTGTTCACGGATGAGCTGTATATATGTATCTGCGTGTGTGTGCGTAAGTGAATCTTGTGTTTCAAATAGCAACAGGACCGCTGTTTCTTCAGACAAATATCCCCCAAAAGATATCTATAAAAACGGTTCAATCTCAGTTGGCATTAAATGGAAATGAGTCATCAAAATTTGGAAATAGTGCATCCTAGGCCCCAGGGACTCAGACAGACTCTGGGAGTGAGCTGTCTTATTTGTTCCAGAATCATTTATGCTGTGAATGGTTAATACGTTCAGCTGCTAACTAAAAGGTTAAAAGTTCAAGTCCACCCAGGACGTCTTGCAAGAAAGCCCTAGTGGTCTACTTACAAAAAATGACCCATTAAAGAGCCTAAGGAGTCCAGTTCTACTCTGCAATACATAGGGTCACCATGCATTGTAATCAACTAGATGGAAACTGGTTTCCCTGTCATGCTCTAGATACTGTTCTGGGTACTAGGGACCCAAGTGGAAACTCAGAGGAGGTGCCTCCATTCATGAAGAATAGCAGAGAATACAAAAGCCACAAGGCCTTTCAAAACCCATTCAAGACCTATTCCTTCTATCTCATCTTCTGAGGCATTGCCCCGGACTCCTGTTCTCTGATCACTAGAGTTCCTTTGGTGGGCTAGAGTGCTCCTAGGGGCCAGTGCTCCCTTCCTCCACAGGGCCTTGCTTGAGATTTGCCCTCTCTGTAGAAAGCTCTTCACCTTGCTCTGTGCCTGGCCAACTCATTCAGACCACACAGTAGTGCAGTGCCTCTGAGAGGTCCCCTGTTCCTCCCTCCCAGTAGCTTTCTCTTTGCTGCCAGAAAGCTTCCCATTTCCTGACCACCAGCTCAGTGACCCCTGGGCCCTCTGTCTAAAATCCAGAAGTACTCAAGAGAGACCTTGTTTGGTATCTGTCACCCTACTAGACTGTAAGCTCTGTGTGGGTCAAGACAATGCCTGTCCCATTTACTGCTGTCTCCCCAGGGAGACCTGGCACATGCCTGGCACAAAGAACAAAGCTGATGCTCAATGAACATCTGTTGAGGAAATGAAGGCAGAGAACTCAGAAAAATCAGTAATGTGTGCATGACCCAAATATATATACATATATGTATACACACACACACATACATATATATTAATTGTATAAACAAAATTTGCCATTTTAACTATTTTCAAGTGTATAATCAGTGGTATTTATCATACTTACAGTGGTGTGTGATCATCATTATTTGTTTCCAAAGCTTCTTCATTCATCACTCAAATCAGAAAGTCGTACTCCTAATGCAATAACTCTCTATTCCTACCTCACCCCAGTCCATGATAACTAGGCTACTTTTTGTCGTTATGTCTTTGTCTAGTCTAGGTATTGCATATATATGGGATCATACAACACGAGTCCTTTTGTGTCTGACTTATTTCACTTAGCATAATGTTTTCAGGTTCATCCATGAATAACCTACATCTTTTGATAGAGGCTTTTCTGATATTTTGCCCAAGGGTCCCTCCCAGCAAGCTTCAGGGTCCAAGGGGTATTGAGAATTTGAGTCTGGAATTCTAGCTCTTCAACTAGAAGCTTCAAAAACCTATTTCCTTTCCTTCTTTAATTTCCTA